CTCTCGCTCTCTCTCTTGTAGCAGCAGCATCCCTCCACTCGCAGCTCGGTAGTCTTCATCTGGTCTCTTTGCTCCCTCGTCCGGGAGGCCTCTCCCTCGCACCCAGCCTCTCTAGGCCTCCTCGAGGAGAGCTCTCAAAGGGTCCAGAGCTATGGAGACGTTTGCACCAGGGGAGTGAACCAGCGCGGTTGGTAGAGAAGGCAAGAGAACGGAAGAGGAACGCGCGGAAGAGAGATAGGGTTAGCCTGACAGAGACGGACAGAGGAACAAGAGGAAGAGGGGCTACCTACCGCGCCTACGTTAGGTAAATTCGATGTAACTCGAGGGGATGAGGATAAGAGGAGCTCACCGTTGAGGGAAGAGGGGAAGATTCGAGAGAGAGACGGACACGGGAGACGGAGAGAGAATTTACTAGGAGGAGACCATCGCCCACAGGGGTGGACCGGTGATCGATAGCCACACACTTCGTCCGCCACCACCTTCAGACTCTGGACTCTCTTCCTGCGATGGATAACTCGGCGAGCTTCTAGCCGACGAAAGCCTTTACCATCATTGGAAAATCCTGATATTAAAACCGCCTGCTCGGTTTCGATTCTCGCTTTGGCCACCTTGTTTCGGCACGCACGGAGTGCCGTTTAAGTTTGCTAGTACGACCGGGATTGGGATGAACCTGTTTATATGAAAAAGCAAGTCAAGAGTATAGAGTAAAATTCGTTCAGCTATCTATTTATTTGAGGAAATTCGATTTGAAAGTTTTGCGAATACATTTGAGTTTTGTACCCTCGATCATGTTTGAATTTGATTTTTGAAAGTGAGGCTTCGAACAGAGTATTTTGTTTTATGTGAAGTCGTATTTCTGTTGCTTGAAGTGATTTTTTAGTGCTTTTTTTTAATAATTATCGATGGACTTGGAGAGTGATGTTGAACGGTGATATTTCGGTTGTAAGATGTAAACTGGGAGACTAGGAGCTGTTGTTTAGTCACGGCACGTACATCTCCAAGATTTTCTTTAGCCCACATTCAAGAAATTCTGTCGAATCATTAGTCTTCTTTGACAAAGACCGGTCGAACCACGGTGACTGGTGTTTGTTCAGGTGGCAGCGCGGATTAGAGTTCAGTTCATCGAGCCCCGATCCAGATTTTCCGTGCGCTCCGACCTTTCCAAAGTCGAGCGACATTAGCATCGACTGGCGCTGAGCCGATCTAATTGGGATTTTCCCAGAGGGACTAGAATGACCAGCCTCGGAAAAGTACTGAATTCACGTAACGCGCTTTCTCCGGAGAAGCATTATGCGAAATCCTGGTCGGCGCATTAGAACCGCCCGCTTTCGTTACCGAATTTCTTCGCCAAGGCTTCATTAGAAGTTTTAAGAAAGGAATAGCACGGATGATTAAAAAAGAATGGTAACGAGGAAGTGACTGGAATTGGTAACGGAATTTTATTGATTCTGTGACCGGATTCTGAATTTCGAGAAGATATTACTAAAGCGACTTTCTGTCTTGAGATAATGATCCCCCGATTTTATAATTAAAACTGAAAACCGGAAATTCTTTTTTTTCTTAAATCAAACATTAATAATAATTACGAAACCATTGTTAGCAGAGAAATGATACTTTTTATAATTAATCTTTAAAATAATTGTTATAATCCTCGCTTTAATATTTATATGAGACTTCTAATTAAAAGCTATATCATTAATTGCTGTGCCGTTGAAAAAAGAACATTTTCTAAAACAAAGAGTATAATTGATGTATTCGTTGCTTTTATTAAAATTTTTAAACTATCTCATCTTCCTAAATACAATCAGGATACAATCAGTAATAAACATTTACCTTCTTACATTTCAGTATTCAGTTCCATATTATTTCCTACTTTAACCTAAAACAAAACTATTTACTACTATCACATAATCTTCTTACACACTCCAATCTTAACTATATAATCACTGCCGCAGTATGTACCCTAAAAATCGAAACTCACCACTACCAAATATAAAAAAATCAAACCCGATCGTCCCGTATTAACGTAACCTACAAGCAACCGATAAAAATTACGAGTCGAAGTTGCTCGGGGGAAGAAGACGAAACAAAATTACGCCGAAAATTGGAAGCCGGCGCGTGAGCTACAAAACTGACCAGCAGGATTTATCTCTGGCCCGAATTTTTTACAATAGTTCGCAGCGTTGCAGCGAAATGCACTTTTCCCGCGAAGAGGCTTCGCTTCCCGCCATTACGACGCAAAGATTAACAGCGGCTTCCTGCTCGTCCGCCGCTGCCCCGCGCCGTTTGCTCGGGGTTCTTCTTTTTGGCGGTCCGTCGCAATTAGTTGCGACGATGCAGGCATATTTCTGCTCGCGGAAGGCGAGAAAAATGGTGTCGGGCCACCCTGTCCCCTTTACCCCTGGCTTTTTCCAGCAACCGTGAACGGAGTAGGTACCATGCGCGCGAGGTCTCGCCTTCGGCCGCAACGAGGACGCGTTTCGGCGAACACGTGCAACCACCGTGCACGTCTCTTCTGCCTCCCTTTCTTCCGCCGACTGTATCTCGCCGCCCCCATTGCTCTGACATCCCGCTCGCTCCGTTTCGCCCTTCTAGCATTGTACCCGTCCTATTCTCTCGCGTTCCGCCGGCTTTTATTGCGGCGAGTTTTCCCGCATTTGCGGCGACCGGGCTTTCCCGAAATCGCGATTAGCGCTGGGACTCCTCGCAACCACGTGGTGCCCTGTAAGTGATTTACTTTTATTACCCCGTTGCCGGGCTGGTTTCCTTTCTCATTATCGTCACTACATTATTATGAAGCTGTTAGACTGTTTTCACGCGACGATACACGTATCACGGTGTAGCGGATACTGAATGTATCTAGAGTAATACCTAGATTAACACGTTGACTGCTACGACGATCACCAATGACCGGAGCTTCCAAATTACTTAGAATGTAGACAATAGATAATAATTGCTAAATCATAATTAAATTGCAGGATTAAGGTTAATCGGCTTAAAACTTTATAAAAATATGGTCCAACTATTAAGGACTTATCCTACTTTTCGCGTCCAGGACACAAACGAAACAGTAAATCAAATTGGATTGTTCGCGCGAGAGCTATTAATTGTAAATTACAATATGTGTATTAACGTCTGAAAATGGCTTAGTCTGCGATAATAATAAAGGCCGATTCTAACGAACTAGCGTTCTGACGAACTCAATACGTCAAAGTATTCAAATATGTATACAAATTCCTAAGAGTGTTTACATAACGAGCATCACAACTATAGGTTACGGTTATATTGATTGTGTATTCGAATGAAACAGTCAAACACTTTTAGAAACAATACAAACGGCTACATTGATCGTGTGTTGGTCGTACGGTATCGCACGAATTTGTTCGTACACGCGGAATCATTTAACACTTTAACCGCCAGCCAAATTTGAATGACATAACCTTTCGTATCAATTTAAAAATTAATATTCTCTGTAACATAACGAATAAATCGAATTTTCTTGGGTCTTTGAGGTACAAGAAGATTAAGAGAGCAATTGGCCTGAAAAATCTTGATTTTGCAATTTCCGTTTCTTTAGGAAAATTGCTTTGATTGTATGATTAATCTGTTGGACGTCAATTCAGAGAATCAACGTGTTAAGTCAGTTTGATTTCTCGTTGTGTGATTGGAACTGCAGTTAGAAATCGTGTTATGATTATAACTAGACATGGTTTCTTTTAAAGGAATTTGTTTCTTTGCACACTTATCAATCGAAACACTGATGCATCGATGAATGACGATTGCTAAGATGTCGTATAGTAATCGAACGAGGGTGGAAATTGATGTGTCCTAGTGTGAGAGTCTCATAGTCAACGTGAATATACGAAGATATCGTAAATTACGTATTTGGATAGTAGTGTCCATTTGAGTTCCTCTGTTTGCTGTTTAAGTTAAACGACCGTTTCAAACTCCTTGTCGTAGCTGCATGTGTATACGATATTATATGGAAAGCTTAATTTAATATAAATGCATAGGTGCTTACTTAGTCACAATATGTAAGTATATACTAAATAGTGTTTTTATTAATTTATTAAGTAAATAGTAAATATGTGGAAGAAAAGGAAGGAATAATGATCAGCTATTTCATAACTAGACTGCGGATGTTTATGCAAATTCAAATTTTCAAGAACGTAATTAGAAAAGCAGAATTACAATGGAAAATAGTTTTTCCTGACAAATATCATGAAAAGCACTAAACTTTAGACATTTTATATACTTTTCTGTGTTATATGCATTCTGTGCAATTTCGCACTTCCAAATTTCCTACAAATGCATAAAAATCCGCAATCTATTCATAAGCAAGGTAATAATATATGTAAATTGCTCATTCTAACACGTTCCAAGAAACGAAATTCTTTCAGAGACCATCTATTGGAATGTTTTTTAAAGAATTATTTATACTATGTTCAAAATCAGCAAGATTTGAATTCTGAAAAAAGGAAAGAAATCAGGGGGAACTGAAATCGCCGTGTATACGGATAAAAATAAGGGACGATGTCCCAGGAGTACCACAATCCCAGGATTTGTTTGCTACCACCTACCCCCAGTAAACGTGCTTTCATCTAACGGAGTCAATTCCGATGGGGAAACGCGAAGGATTCACGTTTTGTGTCCTGACGAATATGGTCAGGACTCGAATTAATATTTACGAACGTCGAAGGACACCCTCCGGTCTGTATCCGTGCCTCAGTTCCCATTTTTCAAACACGACCTGCCTCGGTGAGTTATGCTTTTAACCCTTCCCTGAATCAACTTTATGTCAGACCGAGAGAATGTATTCGGTAAAAAGTAACATGAAAATGACTGTAAATCTTGTACAATAATTAGCAACATAAAAAGCCGTTTTTTAATTTAATTTTATTAACTATTTTAAATGATTTGATTCTAATTTGCGCAGGATGTGGAATTTACTTATAGTGGAACGACATTTATCTGAACATCAATTAGTCTTTTCAATCTGATTATTAGAAAAATCATTTATTCAAACGAATTTTGCCTCCTAATTAATTCGGATAACCGTTGTTGTACTGTAATTTTAAGAGAAAATAATAGAAATTAATAATTACACATTAATGTACATCATACTTATTTTGCGTTATTTTATACAAAAGTTTTTTCCTATGGTAATATTCTAATTAGTATACAATATGTATAAAATACTTATATATAAATATGTGTATCATTGAACAAAAATTTTGAACTTTTTTTTCAAGCATTTGGAGAATTCTTTTTCAGGCTTGAAGCATTCGTTTCTTATTGTGAGTCTTTCTCTCAGATTTGTGTTACCATTTTACCGTAAGGTCGCATGGAGATCATGTGGTGAAAATGTGTTTGAACGATGGCCAATTTGGAATTTCCGGACATAAGTTATCTTCTTACAGTCGTAGTTATATTGTACAAAATTCGTTGACAGTTTTACGTACACGAACAACTTAATGAGGGTAATATAAACGATGTTACCTTTCCGTTAATAAGGGTCGTTTATTAGCAAAGAGATATAAGTTCGTTTTCAGATTAGACATCAAGGAAGCAAACGATTTTTGTACAGTTTGACCTGAACTTCCTATTTATAAATAGTTTACATTTTAATTCAGTTTCATTTCATTAACATTATTTAATTTTATTTACATTACAGATTTATATATTACAATATCCATATAAAAAAGCTATACACCATTTAAAGAAGTGTAAACTATCATGTTTCTGGTAATTATAGCGATGTATATTTACAAGTATTGTAAATAGTAACACAATAAATTTTAGGTATGCTAATATAATTTTAATCTTTGAAAGCTATCATCAGAGGGAATCACATTAATGTTATCATTACACGTCTATGTCAAAGTACATTAGAGAACTGATTTATTACATGATAACACTATCACACAGATAGTCTATATTAATACTAAAAAGAATTAGTGTTATCAGCCACTACGATATTAGATCATATCAAAGCATAATATAATATATATATGAAATTTCACTCGTGATAACATTTAATAATATAAAATAATGTATTGCATAAGCATACACGTGTAAGTGTACCTGTGGAGTATCCTGCAGAACATCTCCTTTTTATCTTTAATGATAGGTTATCGATTACGAAACAATTCGGCTAGAGGTTCCTATAAAGTACTCCTACTTAAATTGCAATAAATATATGTAACTTTCTTACCCGTCGAAATAAACAATACATACATACAATCACAACCAGAAAATTTCTCCACTAACAAGCTGTCACAATACGAAATAAACAAAAGAAACAATAAACCGTTGTATGGATTCCATTGATAAATCACCTTACTTGTGCTACAATTAAATACCTAGCTCGCTGAAATCGTCTCCGAGTCACGTGACTCGGCAGAAGCAAAAAAAGAAGGAGGAAGGAGAGGCAAAAAAAAAGCATCAATTCTTACTTGTTGAACCGTGCAGGCACCCTCGTGCAATCCCCGTAGGTGCAGCATCGTAGCGGGACAAGAAGGTGGAGGGGGTGAAAGATGCGGAAAGACAGATAGAGGAAAACGTAGCCGGATGAAAGCAGCCGGTAGATTCGGCATGGATTTCCAGCGACGGTAAAACCGTCACGATTTCCGTGCGATTGTCGCCGTGAACGGTCGGACAAGCATTGTCCGTGAAGCAAGAAGGGGCGCAGCGGGTGGCAAACGTTAGGAAATTCGCCTCGTGGAAGGGGCTGCGGGGAGGTCAGGAGGGGGTGGCAAAAGGCTAAGCCGAAACCTTTTTCAAGGATGAAGGGCTCGCCCCTCCCTCGACCCCCGCTTCCCACCTTCACTATTGTGCTCGTCGGTGTTTCTCTTTCTTCTCCTGTCCTCTGTTCCGTTTCCTCTTTCACGGTGAACTGCGCTAGTCTTCTTTCTCGCTGCAAGTACCACGAGTATATACGTTTTCGTAACGCACTACCACGACCATTTTCTTCTCCCGTTTCGTGTTTTGTCCGCGAGTCAAATGCGTACGCGTATATTTTTGTAGCGAGATCCTCCGTTCTACGTTTTGTTTACTCCGGCGTGTGTTTTCTCCGTTGGGCCGTCTGCATAGTTACCTGCGCGAACTTTCGTTCGACAATTTTCTGTCTCTTGCTACTTAGATTGTAGGGTCGCAACATTTTTCCTCGGGTATTTTAATAAG